CCTCTCCTGATTAATAGTCATCAAAAGAATGTGATGAAAGAAGTGGATATGTAAAATAATAATTGATAAATTTCCTGGAATAAAATGTCATTGATTAAAAAAACAGAAATGACAGTACAATCTTTAGAAATTCTGCAAGTTGATAGTTGTGGTGATTTGAATGAATATGGCCCCCAGACATTCATGGGGAGTGGTACTATTAGGAGGTGTGGCCTTATTGGAGGAAGGGGTGGGCTTTGGGGTTTCAGATGCTCGAGTCAGGCCCAGTGTCGTGTGCTTTCTCTCTCTTCCTGTTGCCTGTGGATCCAGGTGTAGAACTCTCAGCTCCTTCTCCAGCACCATGACAGCCTGCGCGCCACCATGATGACAATGTACTAAACCTCTGAACTGTAAACCAGCCCGGGTTAAATGATTTCTTTTATATGAGTTGCCGTGGTCATGGTGTCTCTTCAGAGCAATAGGAACCCTAACTAAGACAGAAGTTAAACACAGGCGTGTTTAAAGTTTGAGGTGCACAGATGCACAGTTGAATTAAGTACATCTTAGTACTGAGTGCTCAGAACCCCTCCCTCTCCGACTGTCTTGCTTTGCGTCTGTACTGCCCAGGGTGGGCTGCTGGGCCATTTGTCCCTGCTCTGTGCTCAGGTGCATTTGTTGGTGGCTTGGAGCTGACAGCAGGGTTCCAAGGCCAAGGTATTTTCACCTTGTAACATTATACATGTTACAAATTAAACTGGTTTATTGTATTGGTTTACAGACCTAAGAAAGTGACCAGAACATACTTTAAAATGTTGGTTTAACTTGAAAGTGTGTCCCACATTGTGGCTGTCCCATGGTGAATGACACAAAAATTATAAAGCTGTTGTTATTTGTTTGTTTCTGAAAGCTGGCTTTTAGTTCACAGCCTTGACTGTTTGAAGATATTAAAGTCAGTGCGTCTACAGGACAGAAGCTCGGGTTTAAGCTTCATGCAGCCCCTTCCCGGCCCCTTACAAAGATCAAGGAGCTCTATCGTCGAAATATAACGGAAATAATTTACCTGCTAATCTTTGAGGAGTTTCTGAACTGAGGACCTAACCAAGATGCTAAGAGGTAAATATTCCTTTCGGAACAAAGAAGGCTGTCATCCTGTCATCGTGGCTGAGTATGGCTTTCTAGAACCTATTTTGTTAACAGGTGATCTGCTTTCTTTGCCAAGGTGACGATGGACAGCAAGGTGCAGTGGTGAGCAGGCCCCAGTAATAAGACAGCAGGAGGCCTGAGGCTGCAGAAAGCTCAGACAGAGGTGCCATGGGATGGAGCATGGACTCTGGACTCCAGACGACCGACATCTGCCCTCCAGCTTGGCCCTTCCTTTTCTGCCTACAACTTGCCCATGTTAGCCTGAGTCTCAGAAGCCGTCAAATGCCCCACTGTCAATGAGACTCAAGTCTGGAAGAGAGACGCCTGTGTGGTTCTCAGGCCAGAGAGGGCTGCTATCGATGTAGGGACAGAGGGAGTTGGCAGAGTTTCTGGGGGTGACAGCAGCTAGCACAGGCCCAGGACAGTCAGAAGAAAGAGGCAGCCAGGAATTCAAAACCTTATTGATCACTTACCACTAATACCAATGATCACTGTCCCTGATACCAGTGATCACTACTACAACGTCATTAGTGACATTGCATTCTGTAATCGTGAGTGGTGTCCCTTGCGATAATACATTATCAGATTGTAGAAATAGTTCTTGCCACCCTTTCAATATCTTCCCACGCCAACTGCCTCTGCTTCATGTCTGACGGTAGAAACAACTACAACCGAACTTTCAGGGACTGCTTACAGTCAATGTAAACAGCCTTTGATGGAGGGCACGGGAGAATTCCCTTTCCTTTCTTTTAAAGGTAGTTTTTGTTGATTCTTTAGCAATTGCATACTTGTCTGTAATTCATTTAGATTCTATTCACCCCTCTTGCCCTCCCTCTGGAGCCCTTCCTCGTCCCGACACATCTGCTTCCTTCTTTCATTTCAATGATTTATTTATTTGTTTATTCATCTGAGACAGGGTACTACTTGGTGCCTTGTCTCAAGTCTCTGGATTCAAAGAATCCTCCTGCCTCCAGACAACTTGGAATACAGACCTGTGCCACTGTGTCCAAATCCCAGAACCATTTTCTTGGTAATAAAATACAAGCTCTTTAAGGTTGTACCAAGTCAGACCTTCCTTTGCTTAGTTAGCCTTTTTTAAAAATTTTTTTTGGAAAAAAAAAAGGAAAAACAACTTCTGACTCCCCTACTGTGTCCCAGATACTTAATTGCCGAATTAGTGGCCATTTGGTAAGTGAGGTGAAACTGTACAGTTTGCTTGCTGGCTCTTCCACAATTAGAGTCCTGTCATCAACAGTAAAATGGGGTGTCAGGAACTGGGAAATCGCCAAAGTAAACTGGGGGGGGGGGGCAGGGAGCAACTTTATTTTGCCGACTGGGAAGATTTTAAATCCCCAGCACCTGTCAGTGTTGATAAGAGTCTTCTCTCGCCACTATGGATTTTAGAATAAAGGGTAGTCTTTTGAGGAAATCACTTCAGCTCTGTGAAGGCGTCATGTGGCTCTTCCTGTGCCACCACGGACGGGTGACAGGGTCACACAGACCCTGGTTTGGAAGTATTCTAGGACACCAGCTTAAGGCTTGGGGTGTTGTCTGGGGATGTGTGGCCTGAGATAAAGTCCATGCATTTTCCTAACTCTCTGGGAAGTAGACTCAAAAGAGAACTATGGCTTCTTGTCCCCACAAAAGAAATTCTTGGGAAAGGGAGAACAGACCTACTTGCTTTGAGCAGGGTTTGTGTGTCAGTCAGCCAACCTAACCTGAGTCCTGCTCTGAGGTGTCCCTGGATGTTGGGGTGTCCCTGAGTGTCAGGGTGTCCCCCTTTTAAGAGGGAGGAAACTTGCATAGTAAATCAGGTTTGTTCCATGGGCTGAATGGCCACTTTTCCTGGCCCAAGAAATTCTGTGTCTGTTTGTAATTTTCGTTCTTGGGTCACAGTCCCCAGGGGACCAGGAAGAAGGCCAACGAAGCTTGAGTGTGTTCCCTTGGAGCTTGGGCTTGCTCCCTGGCTCTGGGAAGCAGAATGTCTGCCCTATTCCAGCCCTCCCAATGCAATTCCCAGACTCCAGCAATGGCACAGGTAGCTGAGCAGGTAACAGGCAGGCGCAGGTATCCCGACCAGCTTCTGAGAGCGGACATACACATTCAAAGCCAACACTGCCACGGCTGAAAGAGGGTTTCCTGTCAGAAAATACCCTGACAGAAGACTGACTTCTTTTGGTTAAGAAGAGTTTTAAAATCTATTTTAAGATGGGCAACAGTGGAGTACACCTATAATTCCAGCACTCCAGAGGCAGAAGCAGGTGGTTCTCTGTGAGTTCAAGGCCAACCTGGTCTATAGAGTATGGTCCAGGAAAAACAGGGCTACACAGAGAAATCCTGTCTGGAACAACAATTTTAAATACTGTGGGCTAGCGAGGTGGCTCAGCATTTCAGAGAACACACTACTCTCACATAGTACCCAAATTCTGTTTCTAGCACTTATTTGAGGTGGCTCACAACTACTGAAACTCAAGTTCAGAAGAAGCCCATGCCTCTGGCTTCTGTGGGCCCCTGCCTTCACACGCACATACCCACACACAGACAATCCCTTCCACATATACATAAGCAAAGAAAATAAAGGGCTGGAAAGATACTCAGCCTTTAACAGCACTGGCTGCTCTTGCAGAAGACCAAGGTCAGTTCCCAACCACGGGACACTTCCCACTGTCTGTAACTCCAGTCCCAGGGGATCCCGCACCCTCTTCAGGCCTGGCACACACACACAGTGCACGGACATTCAAGTGAGCACTCATACATATTAAATAAAAATAGATAAAATCTCAAAAAACTAAAGCAAATGTATCTCACGTAATTTTGAATAACCAGCCTTTCCCCTCCGACTGTCTTTTTCCCTCTTCCTGGCGTTTGGGAGGACTGAGAAGAGGGAAAGGATAAAGGTAGAGTTCATTTCCCACTCTTCTGCAAACCCTTTCTGCTGACCTGGAATAATTTCCACACATTTTCCTAATGCTCGGGAGTTAATTGCCAATTTGCATTTTGGTTGTAGTATCTGGGCCTCATGATGGAAACGCCAACTTTTATTTCAAGAGAAATAGGTGGAAGACGCTACTAGCGCTCCTCTCTGAAAGCCCGAAGGCCCGCAGAGGACACCCTGACACTCTTTTTTTCTGTTTCCCCCGAGTATCCAGTCCTTTCATGATCTGTCACAGCACAGGGGCTGGCAGGTGGGTTTGGGCTGGGTTATAGGCTTGGGATCACGTCATCAGACCTGCCACCCATCCACAACCTCACCATATCGTTAGTTCTTTTGATAATCTCAGGATCCCGATGGTCACGGATCTGCCTCTTTGCAGCCAAACTTGACAACAGCATCTTTTTAACGTAGGAAATGATAACGGCCACCCTATCGTCCCTTGCTAAGCCTCTGTGTGGGGAACCTTTTCTGCATCCTCTGACGTCGGCCTGCTCACAGCCTTACTTTAAATATCTCAGGAATAGCATTGGCTTCTGTGAAGACGGATGGGAAATAAGTTCTAGAAGTGGCTTCAGGAACCACCCTGGCGCATATAGACAGGGGACAGGTGAGTGTTTGGAACTCTCATGTAGATGTAAGTTTAATAACGCATGTTTAGCAACAGCCTAAAATCTGCTTGCCTTATAGCTTCCCCTTCTGGTGTGATTCGCTTTCGCCACTTGTTAAAAAAAAAAAGAACACGCAAGAGCATGCATTGATGCATTGTGGGCTGTGCTGTCACATCGATGAGACCTTGTCTGTCACATGCCGCACAGAGAGACTTATTTCCTAGCCTGTCTTTACCCAGGCTCCTGCCTTCCATAACCTTTGGCATCAGGCTCTGCCCAATGCCCCAGTGCCCCAGCCCAACATGACTGAAGAGAAGGAGATGGTGGAGGCGTACCTTGTACCTGGGTTTCCGCCCTCTCTTCTTTGGGATCGTCACTGCTGGTACAGAGCCAGCAGATGCAGAATAAAGATTACGGACTGCCATCTGCGCTGGTGTGGAGTGAAGGGGAGGCCGGCCACGCTTCCTCCCTGGGACCTTCTGTGTCTGCATCTCTGCTGGTGCCAGTCTTACTGAATGAGAAGGCAAACCACACGTGCAAGAGAGGTCCTGGGAATTAGTCCAGACAGAAAGCAAAAACAAAAACAGGAATGTCTGTTTGGTTTTCAAAGCACATAGCCCTATCTGTGCATACCTACCACTTATGGGAGCAAGACAGGGATGAATGGAAGAGAGACAGGCACCACTAGGCTGCAGAAGACAATAGACCCCTGGATCCAGACACATCTAATGTTGCCATCAGAAACTGAATGCTTTCATGTCTTAATTCAATTCTGGACTAACAAAGTAGTATTACAATAGTATTTAAATGCTATACATGACATTTCTATCTTTATAATGTTTAATGTAAAATAAATCAATATAATATATTATATTTAATGTCATTGTATTCATAAACTCATCCATTCCCTCCCATATTTAACCTTCATTCTTTGGTTTAATTACAAATTGTCTCACCTCTTTTTCTCTTGAAAGGAATTTAACAGTACAAGTTACTTTCATTAAAGCATGACATCCTTTAAGGGTTTGCATACAGAAATGTTCATTTTAGCAATATTTAGAACTGCAGAAATAAAATAGGTACAACCCAAATAACAATGCATAAAGGAACAGCTAATACATCTGCAGACTAACACTGTCAACTGGCTTAAAGCCTTTAGCAACGTATTTTGCATAACATGATGTTGGGTGACGTATAAAGATGATCTCAATTATGCAAAAATTTACAAGGTAAAATAAATGGAAGGAGGCCTACTAAAGGTCACCTAGAATAAGATGGCCAGATTGTGGGCAACTGTTCACAACACACAGTCCTTTGTACACAGCCAACAATATTAATCACAAACTGCTCAGGTAGAATTTCATTTGTCTTGAAGTCAAAGGTCGTTGATCAACCTTGACCAGAGAACAGAGGAATTGGAAACTCAGAGGTCAGATATCCTGGCATGGTCAGGAATGTGTTGAGTGAGGCAGAGTTTTAGACTTTAACTCAGAGGCAATGTTAGGTGGTGAAATCCACTTCTACAGTATAGTGGAACCTTCCAGAACCTCCCAATAGTGGAAATGAAAAGCTTTTGCTGACAAATCTGCAAGTGTTAGAACAGAAGCTTCACCATGCCTTGGTAGGGTTAGCAATGCAGGGACTTGATCCCTTTACTTGAGGAATAAAAGGTAAAACACTAGAAATTCTTTTAAAACACAATAGGGGAAGATTTGGTTTTGGAAATACCATATTTGGTGGATAGATGTTTTCCAGTGTAGGGAATTGAACGTACACACCATGCAGGCATTTACCACCAAACCGCTCTTCCAGCTCGGTAAATAGAATTCTAAAGTAGAGATATTCTTATCTTACACACTGTTGAATGTTTCAGATAAGGAAACAGGCTCTTTCCCTACAACACTCACACCTGCCTGTAACTCCCCAGGCCACTTCTGGTTCTTGCAGGCACCATGCTCAGAAACATAAATCCTCATCTAGATACATATATGTACACATTGTTTCAATTAAAGAAAAAAATAATTTACAGCAAAGAATCAGCCTGATAAAGGTATTGGTTTTCTTTGTTTCTGTATATTGAGAAAAATATCCCATCTCACTGATTTAAGAGACTTTTTTATTTTTTCGTATTAACATTCCTGGAACAAAGTTGTCCCTATAGCACTTCAAGAAGATCAGAATTCCAAGGCAGTAGGGAGTGTCATTTTAAATTCTTAGTAAAGCATAAGATAATGACACATCTTGTAATTGACTACATCTTAGAGTCAATGAATTGTGATTACTCTATAGGAATTCATAACATAATCTATTTCTGGACTTGGCATTTATGCTCCTTGGCAGGAACAAAAATGTTCACTGGTACAAAAGAGGCCAAAAGCATTGATGGATCAACAAGAACCGACGAGATCTGGTTAGGCGGAAGTCAGCCTCATTTTGACCTGCCATTAGCAAATTTCTGTTCCTTCCTTATGAGTTTTTGGAGTTTAGAAACAGAAGTTTTTCTTATCGTAGAGGGTATTTCTGCACCTTTCTACTTTGTCTTTAGTTTTAAAGTTTATTTTTGCTTTGTTTAGCTTTGGTTTCAAGAGATAAGGTCTTTCTATGCAGCCCCAGCTGTCCTCACGTCCCTTCTGCCTCTGTCTCCCGGGTGCTGGGATTCCAGCTGTGTACTGACATGCCTATCCTACTTTGCCTTAGTGTGGAAATTAACAATCTGTCTGATAGCATCAGTGTCAAGGGAAAGCAAGAGAAAAATCTATGGGTAGGGATGGAGGAGAAAGCCCAGTTGAAAAAGTGTTCATCTTGCAAGGTAAGAATCTGGTCCCATCCCCAGAACAAGACGGACAAGCATAGTAGCTGTGCTGGTAATCCTAGCTAGCATTGAGGAGGCAGAAACAGTGGATCTACCTGGGTGGCTCACTAGTTGCCAGCCTAACCTACCTAGCGAGCCTCAGGTCCCAAAGAGAGACCCTGTTTCAGAATTAAGGTGGACAGCACCTAAGAAAGAGCAGGGAGGTTAATATCCAGCCTCCACACTCTTCTGTAAGCACACAGGCCCATGCATGTGTATGTGCACACACACATAGTTAATAAATAAATAAAATGCAATAATTTTAAGAGAAAATGAAGTTTAAAAGAATATGAACTAGAAACAAAACTTAACTTTCCCTAAATTGTTTGATATAACAAAAATCTTCCCTAGAAAAAGAACTTATCAGTTTAACCAATTTCTTTTCCCCTGTCATCTGCCTCCTTCTTCTTTTTAATGAAGAAAACCCATGCCTCGTGCTGCAGTCCACTTCCACAGAAGCACCAGTCTTGGGTGGTGTGAGAGCCCTGCCAAATACCTAGTCTGATACATGATGCTAATTGATCAACAGGAGCCATTGTTGATGGAGTGGTGGGTACCACAGGGAGGGGAGAGAAAGCCAGAGGCAAGAAGAGTCTAAAATTCCCTCAACCTGCCATTCCTGAATGATTGTTCACTTTACCTGCTGATCTGGGATGGGTTCACCCACGTTCATGACAGACAAATTCAATGTTAAGCAACAAGGTGACTTACCTGAAGAATAAATGAATTTATCAGAACCATTGAGGTTCCTCTAAATGTCTCTATAGGGTAATCTTAGAGCTTGGAGAATCACTAGTAAGGCACATTCACTTTTAATAACAGGCCAGATGCTTTGAAAAAGTGGGGGAGAGGGAACTCAGGTGCCCCAAATCTCCCTTTCCAAAACTAAGGTATGGATTGAAAAAGAGAGAGAGAATGAATCTAAAATAATAACACCAAAGATGAGGAAGGGCCTCAGCTTTGGGAAGCAGTGGTAGCAAGACACATGAAATCCTGTTAGGGAGAGCAGAACTCTGGAAGACAGTCTCTTAGGGAGAGCAGAACTGTGGGAGACACACAGTGAAATGTTATCATGCTTGAATAAAGGCTCAGCATTGAGATATGTAATAAAAGGCTGCCTTCTAGAAGGAAGAGTCACTCTGTGCCTTAAGCAAAACAAGAATAGTTGGGTGATATCAGGCAGAAGTCTGATCTCCAGAATATACAAAGAACTCAAGAAATTGATCACCAAAAGAACACATAATCCAATAATAAAAAAAGGAGTACAGACCTAAACAGAGAACTCTTAACAAAGGAATATAAAATGATTGAAAGACGTTTAAGGGAATGCTCAACATCCTTAGTCATCAGAGAAATGCAAATCAAAACAACTCGGAGATTCCATCTTACACCTGTAAGAATGGCTACGATCAAAAACACTGATGACAACTTATGCTGGAGAGGATGTAGGGAAAGAGGAACACTTCTGCACTGCTGGTGGGATGCAAGCTGGTACAGCCCCTTTGGATGTCAGTGTGGTGATTTCTCAGAAAATTAGGAAACAACCTTCCTCAAGACCCAGTAATACCACTTTTGGGTATATATCCAAAGGATGGTCAATCGTGCCACAAGGACATGTGCTCAACTATGTTTATAGTAGCTTTGTTCATCATAGCCAGAACCTGGAAACAACCTAAACGCCCCTTGACTGAAGAATGGATAAGGAAAATGTGGTCCATTTACACAATGGAGTACTACACAGCAGAAAAAAAATAATGCCATCTTGAAATTTGCAGGAAAATGGATGGAGCTAGAAAACACTATGCTGAGTGAGGTAACCCAGACCCAGAAAGATAATTATCACATGTACTCACTCATAGATGTTTTTAAACATAAAGCAAAGAAAGCCAGCCTACAAACCACAATCCTAGAGAACTTAAACAACAATGAGGACACTAAGAGAGATTTATATAGATGTAACCTACGTGGAAAGTAGACAAAGACAAGATCTCCTGAGTAAATTGGGAGTATGGGGACCTTGGGGGAGGGTTGAAGGGGAAAGGGGAGAGGCAGGGAGGGGAGCAGAGAAAAATGTAGAGCTCAATAAAGATCATTAAAAAAAAGAATAGTTGGTTGTAATGATGCATGCCTTTAATTTAAGCACTTGGGAGTCAGAGGCAGGCAGATCTCTGTGAGTTCAATGCTAGACTAGTCTACCCAGTGAGTTCCAGGAATCCCAGGGCTGCATAGTAGGACACTGTCTCAAACAAGCAAACAAACAAAACATAAAAAAGAAAAGAAAAACAAGAATAAACAAAAATTCTAATGAAAACAAATATACTTAAAATTTATTAAGAAAAAAATCTAAAGAAAAACCAAAAACACATAGCCAGGGTTATTTGCAAATGTATTTATAATGGTGAAGTGTTGTAAACTATCAAGACACCCTCAAAACAGCCTTGAGTTGAATATTATTTCAGACTTATAAGATGGAATATTTTGTGGTTTTAAGCGTGTGTGTGTGTGTGTGTGTGTGTGTGTGTGTGTGTGTAAGAGAGCTCATCTACAATGTGTGTATGGCTTTATGTGGAATCTGCAGGGCTTTATAAAAAAGGCTAGGTCTGAGAAAGAAAAGTCTCAAAAGGTGGGAGGTGGTTGTCCTTGGGAAGAAAGAAACTGCTGTGTGGTTTTTACTTCCTTTTGTGTGCCATTTTAAAT